GAATCCTCCTTCCTCATTCGGATTCTACATTGCTCACTTCTCTCCAGCATGGAACCTGCTAGGGGACTGATCCTCTTTACCCACCTACATAAGGAAGTTATACAATATGTAAAGAAGAATCCATCTCCTCTCTGCAACTGTTGAAAGCATAGATTTAAAATGCTGTACACAGACTTCATCCCTTTTATTTACCTAATTTTGATTTATACTAATACCTATAGCAGGTTCATGCAAATGCTAAAAATTCTGATGTACTTTCTTCTAAATGTTTGTGCCTCTTACTCTGGATAACGGACCCTCATTAGCTGTACTGACAAGCTTCGTTTCTACACAGGCACCACTATAACAATGGCTGATGTTGTTGTTTGTGTTGCCATAGTTATGCCTGGGGAAAAAACAGATTCCAGACTGGGTAAAACCTGCAATGAGTTTTCCTGATGCATGAAAACCATGCAATCTATACTTTGAAATTCTTATCATTATGACCCCCTTTATATGTATATGTGTGCAACTCACCTCTTCCCTAGATCCTAGATGATGACTGAGAGAGGTGAGTTGCAAAGAAAATTACAATCTCAATTTAAATGTAATTTAAAATAAGAGAAAGATAAGAAGATACAATTGCTATTTCTAACATGGCAAAACTGGGGAGAAAAGAATCAGTATGTTAATGTTGCTTATCTCTGACTGGTGAAGTTATAGGTGATTTATTTCTTCCTATTTATTTTCTAAATATCCTACAACAAACTTTACTTTTGAAAACAGAAAAAAATTATAATTCAAGTTCCTGCAAGACTCAATTAAATAAAGAAAACACATAGAATGGAAAATATGAGGAAAACCAACACGGCACAGAAATTAAAAGCAAATAATAGAGCAATAGTTCTCATTTATCTGAATTAAAGAAAGGCGACGAAGATATAGCTGCCCAAAACGCAGATGACCCAGTGCTCAGCTTTGCTTGGGTTGGTTTTGGAACACCTGTGCAATTAACCTTCCAGTCTCTTCTCTGAGCCTCCGAACCTCACTCTCATCCTCCGTGACACTGTACCCATCCTGCAGAGCTGCTGAGAGGGCGGAAAGTTGATGGGAAAGCACCTGGATTTCAATTTCTAGCAGATGAATAATCAATTCCTATCATTGTAATAGCAGATGTTCAATCAATTCATGAAATGTTACGTGAGCGTGCACGGTGAGCATCAGTGTTGTGGGGGAAACAAAGATGAACGCAGAAGCCTCCCTGCACCCAAAGATGCCACAGTTGAGTTGGAGGGAAAAGACATGTACTCACATAGTTACAATGCAGTGTTCCTCATGAGAGAGGAACAAAGTACGATGAAGCCCAGGGGCAAATGAAGAAAGGTTTTACAAGGCAGAGTATTCCAATGTAAAAAAGCAGAGGAACATGGTTTGCATAAAAGAAGTGAAAATCCTGAATTTTAGAGTCGGCTGTACCAGCAACTGCATGACCCAGGACAGGGTTACAAACCCTTAAGAGTTTCAGATTCATCATTTTCCAATTAGGAGGATTTTCCCAGATGATCTCTAAGGTAACTTCTGCTTTTACAACAAATACTGATACAGTGTTTTGTGCAAGAAGTGATCTAACTCCTTCATAGCTACAGATATAAAGATCGTGTGTGTGTGTGTGTGTGTGTGTGTATGTGTGATATTATACAAAGGCATACATATGTTTAATCCTCACAGAAACCTTGGGATACAAACACAATTATTATCACTCCCATTTTTCAGCTGAGGAACTGAAGCACAGAGAAAGAAAGTAAATTGCTTAACGTCACAGGACTGGGATTCAAATTCAGGCACTCCCCAGTCAGTACTATTTGAGTGAAGCCTTGAAAGATTTTTAAGATTTTATAAGAAATAATAATTTGCAAAAAGAGAACTGTCCAGAATGGAAACTCACCAAGAGCAAAATCAGAGAAGCAGGTGAGCAAGGGAGTTTTAAGGAGGCTACACACGATCCTGCTAAGAGCAGGTCCCTGAGTTTAAATACAAGAGTTGGAATATTTATTCATTTTGTGACAGTGATAAAATTACTCTAAGCTTTAATGATCTATAAATTAAGGATAATAACATGTTCCCTGTAAGGTTGAAGTGAAAATTAAATAAGATAGTGCATGTAAAAGGCTAAACACAGTGTCTGGCACATGGTGGGTACCTAATAAATTGAAGCTATTACTATCAATGGATGAAGAGCCTAGTTTGGCCAAAACATGTCAGGTTAAGGTGATAACTGGACAATAATTGGCTACAAAAGTAGTTAAGATACAAGTTGGGGAAGATCTTGAATACCTGGCCAGAAGTTTAGATTTTTTTTTTACAGAGTCACTTCAAGTTTCCAAAGAGGGAATTTTGTATGTCTACAGCCAATATTAAACTTGTTCAAGTTTTCTAAGCACTCATTTGCTGGACAGGAGAAAGAGAGTCCTGAGGGAGGATCCTGGGTTAAAATATAAAAAAAAAGTATGGAAAATAATACACACCCATTTATTAAAACTCTGGCGCTGACCTCCCAGTTTATGGGGTTGTTAAAGCTTCCAGATAGAAAAATATATTGCTATGTTCTACAAGTGTCCATTTCTTAAAAAGCTAGAATTATAGAGAGGAATCTTTAAATCGGGTATGATTGAACTGCCTTTATTCACTTATCCAAAGTTCAAAGTCAAACCTGACTTCTCATTCTGAACAAATAAGGATGGGTCCAGGAAAAAAAAACAGGCAGAAAGAACATATAAACAAAATTTTAAAAGTCTGAATTCAACCTAGTGGGACACTTACAAGTCAAGAATATTTATTTTACCAATAAATATTCAACACATTTTGCTGAACAGTGGCTATGGGCCTCACACTTTGTTAAGGGCTTCACATACTCTATTTCAATTAATCCCTATGGCATGCTCATAGCTAATATTTTGTTATCACCATTTTTCAAACGAGAAAACTAAGACTCAGAGACATTAAGTAATTTGCCCAAATACACAGAGATGTCAAATGGCTTGAACGAGGATTGAAAACCAATCTTGGCTGCACCAATCTTCAGAGCAAATTGTTAAAACTACCATCACTACCAGCTCTACCCATATGCTGACCACCACCATGGTGCCACCATAACCACTAGTGCAAGCACCCTCACCATTATGACTACCAAAACCACCTCCTCCAGCACTACCATCACTATCATCACTATCACCACCACCAAGTCAGCACAAATGCCAACACTACCATCATCAGCATCACCATCGCCTCTGCCATCAGCACCACCAGCAACGTCAACACAACAATCACTCCACAACCACTGCAACCCTCTCCATCACCAGAACCATCTCCACTGCCCCCTCGCACCACCGTCACCACTATTAACCACAACCACCATCACCACCAATATCACCACTAATAACAAGCACCCCCACCCCCGACATTCCCTTTTGCCTCTAAAGAAGACTAGTTTCCTTTAACCAAATATCCTTCCAGGAAAAATCACTGATGTCCATAAAATCCAAGAGTAAATTTCTTTCCCAACTTCCTCCTACACAAAAGGCATGTCCTCATCAACAATATTCCC